AATTTTCCTTTCAATTTGGCTTAGACTTTACATAACACCAACAAAGTACATTTTCTAAACTTTCCTATAGGACTTAGATTAGGGGTTGGCAGCCTTTCAGAAGTGGTGTGCTGAGTCTTCATTTATTCACTCTAATTTAAGGTTTTGCGTGCCAGTAATACATTTAAACATTTTTAGAAGGTCTCTTTCTATAAGTCTATAATATATAACTAAACTATTGCTGTATATAAAGTAAATAAGGTTTTTAAAGTGTTTAAGAAGCTTCATTTAAAATTAAATTAAAATGCAGAGCCCCCCGGACCGGTGTCCAGGACCCGGGCAGTGTGAGTGCCACTGAAAATCAGCTTGCATGCCGCCTTCGGCACACGTGCCATAGGTTGCCTACCCCTGACTCAGATTAAATTCAAATATCTATTCTGATGATTTTATGTCAGAATAGGTAAGTTATAGTCTAGCAAATTCTCAGCCAGGAATCATTACTTGCAACTCTCTTGCAGGAGCTGAAAAGGTTTCTGTTATGCATAAAGGGCCCGATTTAGGGTTCGATCCTGCTCCTGTTGATAGCAATGCAAGTGGGAACAAGGCCTTTACTGAGATTTTATTGTTGCTGTCATAACTACAATTTTCTGTTTAATTAGCACACTTTTTGTTCATTTACTCTGAAAGAAAAGAACATACTTGACTTTGATTTGAGTGGCAAAAGACTAAATGCTTTGGTTTCTGCCTATATATTCCAAATAACCCATGCTTAGAAACTGAAATAATATAGAAGGAACACTTGATTGGGAAAAAAAAATTCTCTGCCACTGTAGAGGAATTCACAAGGATGAGTCTGGCTTCTCAGACTTTGTGAACTGGGGCCAGGATATGGGCAGTTCCTAGTTCTTATTTTAGACTGTCTACAGATTCAGGAAGACAGCACTATATTGATGGATTTGGTTCACACTTGGAACATTATCTTTGTAACCGTAAGGGGTAGAAACATGAAAGCTTAGTTTATTCAGCAACTTCTGGTAAGCCCTTATTAGCAACTAGCTCAGGGGTGGGCAAACTTTCTGGCCCGAGGGCCACATCTGGGAATAGAAATTGTATGGCGGGCTATGAATGCTCACAAAATTGGGGTTGGGGTGTGTAAGGGGATGAGGGCTCTGGTTGGGGGTGCGGGCTCTGGGGTGGGGCCAGAAATGAGGAGTTCGGGATGCAGGAGGGGGCTCCGGGCTGGGGTTGGGGGAAGGGGTGCCGGGGTGGGGGGAGTGAGGGCTCCGTCCAGAGGTGCGGGCTCTGGGATGGGGCTGGGTATGAGGGGTTTGGGGTGTAGGAGGGTGCTCTGGGCTGGGATCAAGGGGTTCAGAGGGCAGGAGGGGGATGGGGGTTGGGGTGCAGGGAGAGGCTTAGGGCTGCAGGCTCTGGGCAGCACTTACCTCAAGTGGCTCCCGAAAGCGGTGGCATGTCCCTTCTCCGGCTCCTCTGCGAGGTGCGTTCCAGCAGTTCTACATGCTGCCCTGTCTGCAGGCACCGCCGCTGCAGCACCCATTGGCTGTGGTTTCAATGGGAGCTGCAGGGGCGGCACTTGGGGTGGGGCAGCGTGCAGAGCGGTGGCCCCTGGCTGCCCCTACGCATATGAGCCAGAGGAAGGGGCCATGCCGCTGCTTCCGGGAGCCGTCTGGCACGGTCCCTGACCCTGCTCCCCAGCTGGAGCACCGTTAGGGCAAGTCTCAGACCCCGCTCCCCAGTGGGCGCTCGAGGGTCGGATTAAAATGGCTGGCAGGCTGGATCCGGCCCACGGGCTGTAGTTTGCCAATCCCTGAACTAACTGTTGGCAAGTGGATTTGTCAGGCTCTGTTGAGAAAGCAAGTTATAGAGATAAAGATGGTGCTACTTTTAGAGCATACAGCTTTTAATACTAAAGTATATTAGCCTTTAAATACTCTTAAGAACTTTTAGAATTAAACATAGGTATATGTAGATTTGTATGACTTTCTGGATTTATTGATGAATAAATACTAATGAATAACTTCATAGTATTGTTAGTAAACCTGATGATGGAATGTTTTCCACAGAGTAGAGGGCTGCTTTCATCAAGATGGAGCATTGTATTCTGGGTTTGGTAGCCTCCACTAGTCACAACTTATAATAAAGCTTGAGGGCAGTTATGGCTTGCACTTTGACTGTCTCTGTTGTCAAGACTCATGAAATATCAATATTCCTGTGTGGTTTTTTTGGTTATACCAATATTTTTAGGGGACCAAATTCATCTTTGGTGTAGATTAGGTGAGACCTGCCCTTACTTTGAGGAATATCATTGTTTATATCTGTTCCTACAGTATTGGCCCTTTGTAGTAGCTGATATCCTCATGCATGTCAGTGACGTGACAATTTTTTCTGAACAGTAATACCTATTTTGCTACTTTTACACACCGCTGTGGAACTTTGGAATCGGTCCCTGTTATGCAGTGGTTCTCAAACTGGGGGTCGGGACCCCTCAGGGGGTCACGAGCTATCAGCCTCCACCCCAAACCCCGCTTTGCCTCCAGCATTTATAATGGTGTTAAATATATAAAAAGTGTTTTTAATTTATAAGGAGGGGTCGCACTCAGAGGCTTTCTATGTGAAAGGAGTCATCAGTACCAAAGTTTGAGAACCACTGCGTGTGTCTAATGTTATCATTAGGGGTCTGCTTATTCTGCAACTGCAGAATTCACATTTGCTAAAAAATTCTGCCACAGAATCCAAGATTTATTTATTTTTTTATTATTTTTAAAACAAAAACATCCACGTTTCTAGTCCTCATGATTGTGAAGAAAATCGGGAAAACTTGAATGGAGTATAAACCAACGCTGTTGTATTCAAATCTTCAGCCTACCTGAAACAATAGCACTGAGAATTTTCAAGTGTCCCATTCATTTCAACAGGTAACTTAGAAATGTAAAAAAAGTGACAGTGAGGTGGAAACATATCATTGTGTCAATACTTCAATTCCAAATAGCTTCCCCCTCCTCTTCAAGTGTGAAAAGCTCCAACTTTCTTAATTCCGCTGATGAATTCTGTAATGCATTTAATGCAAAAAATAGCTGTGTGGATATTGTGGATCGGGTGACTGCTTGGGTTCTCTTAAGCCCACATGACCCCGTGGCTCTGAGTTTGGGTGGCTAGCCTGAGTCTCTGCTTCAGCCGCAATATCCACATTGGTATTTTTAGCATGCTTGTCTACTTTGGCTGGCAGGCTCAATCCCAGCTGCAACCTTAGACATACCCTGTTTGGCTCCCCACTCCTCCCACCCCTCCCCCGGACAAAAAAAAAAAAAAAGTTGTTTGGTAGAAGGTTTTTGAGGGAATTGATCAAGGAAAGCTATTTTAGTGGCTTATGTCTGGGTTTATGAGAGCAGAATCATTCAACCATGTTTCTTTTCATTAGTTTCTGGCTGCATTGGGTCAGAGCACAAGTTTATTTTATTTCTGTGTTTTGCAGTGGCTCTAGCATACCATCTGGTTTTTTCCAACCCTAACTTTACATTCGTTTACATACATTTCTGCATTGTTAAATATTTGCAGTATAAATTCTATTAGGGAATAAAAGTCTGCTGATGATATCAACTGCTAATTTGTGACTAGGAATGCATGTAGTCATGGAGAAGCCACATATTGATGGTATTTGCAATCATGAAAAAAGAATTGGAGCTTTGATTAGTCAGTCAACTTGAAAATCACATTTCTGAAACTTGTATGCCTACATTTATTACAAATAACACTTTAAATGATTATACCTGAAAGAGATTGGTGGTGCTGGGAGAGGAAGCGTTCTTTAGTTCGTTAACTTTGCACATTTTTGTGTGTTAGGAAAGCAAAAAAACCTTGGAAGTCTTTTGAAACAGAATTTAAAAACTTCCCCTACACACTCTTCTGTATATCTTATTTAGGGGGTAGGTGCTATCAAACTTAAAATGAGTCAATTTAAAAAAATTCAAATGATAATGTTCCTTTTAAATACAGTGTCCTGTGGTCTCTGGCATCAGGGTGTTAAAACAAAAAGACAGTTTCTATCATGGGAATACCACTCCTCCATCAGGCTTGGAACTATTGGATTTTCTGCCTTTTTCCCCCAAGTCTTGGAGGCTGGTACATGGTTCTTCTTTCCTCCAAGCCCTTTTAAGAACAAGTACAAAGGCCAAAGAATGGTACCTATGAATCACAGCACAAGCTCTAATTCTGTTAGTTTTTAAATGAGTGATTAAGACACAAAAAGCTTCCTTAAAATATAACATTTGGTGTTTATATGAAAAAAACTAAAAGAAAAGCAAGGAAATAAGTAAAGTACAAAGATGTGTTTGGCTTCCACAGAGAATGTGGGTGTATTATTTTAGTTCATGTCCACTGTTGGGAAAAACTCCCATTTTTCCCTCCACTTTCTCAGTAGCTTTAAAGGGTTAGTAAAATGTGCTCACATCTGCATTATGTTCTTCTCTGATCCCAAACCTGATCAATATATGTCAATGATCTGTGAAAATACATATGTTTGTGGCAAAGTGAGAAATTCTGCAGAGATTTTTTTTTTTTGGTTTTTGTTTGCCTGTCTGGACATCAGGACCTGTGTGGATTTACTGAAACCATGTACAGGCTGCTGCTGTTTTCAGCAAAGCAGATTACTGCTTCTGTCTTATTGGTTATTTTAGTTTATAAATTGACAGTGATGGAACTGAGCCAGTAGTTATGCTTAATTTTGCCACTTTCCACATACAACAGTATACTAGAGTAAGAATAGTAAGTATTTTACCTAATGATAAACTGATAAATGTGAATGTGGCTTCTCTATTAGTTATCGTCCAGTGTAGTGGGTTTGATCCACTGTGGAGTAAATTGCGTAGTTACCAAAATCTGTCATAGCCATAGCTATTTTTAAAATTCCTTTACTAGAGTAGAAAGTTAACAACTTATCCTGTGTCTTATGCTAATGTTGTTTTTTTCCAGTTAATGTAGCTGTTAATTTGTTTTTGTTTTTTAAGGCACCAGAGGTGATCCGGATGCAGGATAATAACCCATTTAGTTTTCAATCAGATGTCTACTCCTATGGAATAGTATTATATGAACTGATGACAGGAGAACTGCCATACTCCCATATTAACAACAGAGATCAGGTGAGAAACATTCAACTCTGGTATAATGCATTGTATTTCTGGGGAATATGCAATCTGTTTACTGAATGTGTGCAACAAGTGTTTACATTTTATGTTTATAATTTGTATTAGGGTTTTCCCTGGGATATAGTTTATGTAGCCTATAATAATGTGGTAAATCATCTTAAATTAATACCAGCAGTGTCAATGCACAGCTAGCCACATCCGAGAGTCGTGCTGGCCGCCGCTTCCCGCAGCCCCCATTGGCCTGGAACGGCGAACTGCGGCCAGTGGGAGCTGCGATCGGCCGAACCTGCAGACGCTGCAGGTAAACAAACCGTCCCGGCCCACCAGCGGATTTCCCTGATGGGCTGCGTGTGAAAGGTTGCCGATCCCTAATCTATACCCTGGACAGTATACTTCCTGGCATACTAGAACTTTATAAAGTGCTCAGTGGATTTATTCGAGTGATCAGTATTATATTTTATTAGAGTAGTAAAGTTGCAGCAGAGCGCTGTAGTGAATTATCATACTGCTGTTGAATCTTTGCAGAGAAGAGAGAACGCCTCTAATTTCAATTATGGGCCTTTTGGCCTAATGAAGTTCGAGTTTGAGCCTATTTATAAAGAAAATAATTTTATTAATTGCAGTTGTTTAGATTTTCTACCAGGAAGGTAGCACATTAATATCTAGAAATCTTGACACTTTGGAATTATCCTGAAATTTACTGAATTGAAAACAAAGGGGTAAACAAAACAAAACAAATATTCTCTCTTCCTGAATGTTTTGCCAATTTCAAGTATCGTATTAATTTATTAATGAATATGTTTCCCCCAGTAATCTGCACTGGCACGGTCTGGACTTGAACTCGTAGGCCGACTTTATCTCTAGTGTCTTTTGATCTGAGTTGTCTTTTTGAAGCTTTAGTAATGAGTAATGGAAGAAAACTACATCTCTACCTCGATATAACGCTGTCCTCAGGAGCCAAAAAATCTTACCGCATTATAGGTGAAACCGTGTTATATTGAACTTGCTTTGATCCCCCGGAGTGCGCAGCCCCGCCCCCCCCGAGCGCGCAGCCCCGCCCCCCCCCGGAGCACTGCTTTACCACGTTATACCTGAATTCATGTTATATCGGGTGGCGTTATATCAAGGTAGCGGTGTAGTTAAACTGTTGACTAAAAAGATCTAGAATATCTTATAGTCCATACTCCAAACCACAGGAAGGCCACATTTGTTACCCTTAAACTGTAACTACTTTGAACATCAAGTTAGAAAACAAACTTGGATTTTTTTGAAACAATCCCATTAAATTCTTAGTATGCCATTATACTTGAATTATGTGGAAGCTTTGAACATCCATCCCTGTTGTAAAACATTGGCCTATCAGTAGTTATAACATGGTTGTCTTGTTACCATTCAAATAAATACAATATTTATTTCTGAAATAGATGGAATGTTTCCCCATGTACTGTAGGAGGACTCTTATTTCAGCAACTTTATTTAATGTTAGGCAGTTAGTTTCCTCTTTGGGAACTTTAGCAGTTTTGCATTATATTTAAGTGTGATACAGTTGTTGCAATATGTTTATTCAGCTATATGTACAGACCGAATCCTGAGTTATAATTTTAGCTTAACCTGGGCCAAGATATCACTAGATGTCTGTTAGCCACCTTGATCACATTAGTAAGGTTCATTAAAGCCTGAGTAACAGTATTGCTAAATCTGAGTCGATATTCTGCTAATCAGGAAGAAACAAAACCTGCAGACACTGTTTTGCATCTTAGCTCGTAGTCTAAGAAAACTGAAGCTTATCTTCAGAAAAAAAAATTTCCTTCACAGTTAAATATTTGAAGAGGCCTTCTTCCGCTTTATAGCTCCCTCTAAATGGATATGTGATCTGACAAGGAGTTTTTAGTTAAACTTAAAAATACTGTTTTGTGTTGATCAATTACAATGTATTGGTAGATTAATGAGTAATCACATAAATTGGACACTTTCTGGCTGGATTTAGGGTTCTTTGTCACTTGAAGTCTTCAACTCCAGCAAGTTACGTCAGGATACGCTCTAGACTCTGGTCTTGTTGCTATTATTATATAAAAATTAATACATGAAGAAATTATGAACTAACTATGCAGTGTCACTTAGATGTTAGACTGGCACTGTCATCCATTGGAAAAGCAGGACCACAATTCCAGTTTATTAATTTTGACAAACATTTGACTACAGTAGGACCTCCTGCCTGCCTTCAGTACTTCCACATTAAAAACTGTATTAAAGGGCAGTGAAATAATTCACACTAATGGTGTTCAGATTACCTGTGTTTGTGCCTCCTTGTTTAGATCATTTTTATGGTTGGTCGAGGTTATGCATCTCCAGACCTCAGTAAACTGTACAAGAACTGTCCCAAAGCTATGAAGAGGCTTGTAGCAGATTGTGTGAAGAAAGTTAAGGAGGAAAGACCTCTATTTCCACAGGTAGGAGTCTATTTTGTATTCAGTTTGATTTTTAAACAAGTCCTAGAAATATCCATTGCATATTCTGTTTCACAAAAAGACACTGTAGAAATAATATTAAGAATATGAAGTTCAGTAGTGAAAATGGAAGTATCCTATTCTTGGTATATATTTTTGAGACCCATGCCCTGCATGAGCCTGCTTCCCTATGCACTTGACAATTAATAACCTAAACTGCACTTAAATTTTTCAGATGTCATTAAAAAAACCTCACTTTACATACACTGATATAGATACTGTTAGTTGGGCAGCATTAAAACTGTTTACTTCCAGATGACTGGCTTATTCACATTTGAATTTATTTGTTTGCATTAACTTTGCCAGTTTGCCTTATCCGTATTTAAATCTACATGTTTTTTTCTTCAGTATCACTCCAAAATAAACCTGCTTTGGGTAGTTTCATGAGGCCATTTTTGAGTATTTTGCCAAATATGTCTTCCCTCAGCTTCCCAACAGAAGGGTTCATAAGTTACATGCTTTCCCTTAGCCATTGGATTTTTTGTTTTGGCCTGGGTGGGATTTTATAAAAATATCCATGATTCTGATTAAATATCCTCAGCAAAAGAAAGTTTTATTTTAATTCTGATTCTTAAATTCTAAGACTATGGGCAGAGCATACAATTCTCCCCACCATCTCCCTTTTCAGAGACAAAATTTAGAGACACTATAAATGGCTGCTGATTGAGCAGCTAGTCTTGGAACCCACAAGGGGAGAGGCAATTCTTGATATAGTTCTAAGTGGAACACAGAATCTCGTCCAAGAGGTGACTATGGGTGAACTGCTTGGTAATAAAAGTATTGGGAGCATAAGCTTTCGTGGGTAAGAACCTCATTTCTTCAGATGCAAGAAGTGAGGTTCTTACCCATGAAAGCTTATGCTCCCAATACTTCTGTTAGTCTTAAAGGTGCCACAGGACCCTCTGTTGCTTTTTACAGATTCAGACTAACACGGCTACCCCTCTGCTGCTTGGTAATAGTGACTATAATGTAATTAAATTTAGCATCCTTTTGGATGTGAAATTCCCCCCCCCCCCCCGCCCAAAAAAAAGGAGGGAACACCACCACAGTAACATTTAACTTTTAAAAACTAGTTAGATGGAAATTAAAAAGAGCAGTCACAAAGGTAAAAGGCTTGCAAGCAGCATAGAGACTACTTAAAAACAACATAATAGATGCTTGGACTAAATCTATACCCCTAGTATAAAAAAAAAAAAGACCACCAAAGAACAGAGTAATGGAGGCTGTTAAAGGCAAAAAGACATCCTTTAAAATTTGGAAGTCAAAAGGTAATAAAGAAAATAGAAAGGACCACACACTCTAGCAAGTAAAATGTACAAGTACAGTAACTCCTCGCTTAATGTTGTAGTTATGTTCCTGAAAAATGCAACTTTAAGCGAAACGATGTTAAGCGAATCCAATTTCCCCATAAGAATTAATGTAAATGGGGGGGTTAGGTTCCAGGGAAATTTTTTTCACCAAACAAAAAACTATATATTATATAGATATACACACAGTATACGTTTTAAACAAACAATTGAATACTGTTCACAGCTATGATGATTGTGAAGCTTGGTTGAGGTGGTGAAGTTAGAGGGTGGAAGAGGGAGGGATATTTCCCAGGGAATGCCTTGCTGCTAAATGATGAACTAGCACTCGGCTGAGCCCTCAAGGGTTAACACATTGTTGTTAATGTAGCCTCTCACACAAGGGAGCACAAACAGGAGGGAGGGGAGACAGCATAGCAGACAGAGACAGACACACCCCTTGTGTGTGGGAGAGAGAGAGAGAGATGCATACTGCCCCTTTAAGTAAGCTGACCCATTCTTAAGTGCATTGTCTTTTTAAGTGGATCAGGAAGTTGAGACAGCAGCTGCTGCCCCAAGCGCTCTGTCTCTCTCTGTCCGTTTCCCTTCCCTGCTCTATATGGAGAAGGAGTAAGTGGGGTGCAGGGGAGAGGGGGACATTAGCTGGAAGGTAGCTGTTGTAGTGCTTATTTTTAAAAAGGGCTTAGAAGAGATTCTGGCATTTACAGGCTGGTGAGCCTAACTTTACCTGGAAAATTAGAAGAAATTAATAAAAAACAGAATTATCAGACTCATAGATAAACATGGTTTGTTGGGGAAGAGTCAGCACAGCTTTTGTAAAGAGAAGTCATGCCTCACCAATCTACTAGAATTCAAGGGAGTCAACAAGCATGTGGAAAGGGTGACCCAGTTGATACAGTGTACTTAAACTTTCTGAAATTCATTGACAAGGTCCCTCACCAACGGCTCTTAAGGAAGCGAATAGCCAGGGGATAAGAGGGAAGGTCCTCTTATGGATCAGTAACTGTTTGAAAAATAGGAAACAAAGGGTAGGAATAAATGGTCAGTTTTCACAGTGGAAAGAGGTGAACTGCAGGGTCCCCCAAGAATCTGGATTGGGACCTGTGCTATCCAGCATATTCATTAATGATCTGAGAAGTGGCAAAATTTACAGATGATATAAAATTATTCGAGATATTTAAGTCCAAAGCTGACTGCGAAGAGTTACAAAGGGATCTCACAAAATTGCAACAAAATAGCAGATGAAATTCAATGTGGATAAGTGGAAATAATGCACATTGGAAAAAATAAACCGAACTATACAAATGCAATGATGGGTTCTAAATTAGCTGTTACAACCCAGGAAAGAGATCTTGGAGTCACTGTGGATTGTTCTCTGAAAACTTCTGCTCCATGTGTAGCAGTTGTCAAAATGGCTAACAGTATGCTAGGAAAAGGATAGAAAACAAGACAGAAAATATGCCATTATATAAATCCATGGTGCACCCACACCTTGAATACTATGTCCGATTCTGATTGCTGCATTTCAAAAAGGATATAGTGGAATTGGAAAAGGTTCAGAGAAGGGGAACAAAGATGATCAAGGGGTATGGAACAGCTTCCATATGAGAGATGGGGGAAAAAAATTAGGGCTCTTCATCTTAGGAAAGAGACATCTAAGGGGGATATGATAGAGGTCTAGTAAAATCACGAAAGGTGTGGGAGAAGTGTTATTAATCCTTTCACACAATAAAAAAAACCACGGGTCACCGGATGAAATTAATAGGCAGCAGGTTTAATACAAACAAGAGGCAGTACTCTTTTCACACAACTAACCTGTTGAGCTGCTTGCTATGGGATGTTGTAATAGCCAAAAGTATAATTGGTTTCAAAAAAGATCTAGATATATTCATGGACGATAGGTCCATCAATAGCTATTAGCCAAAATTGTTGGGGATGCTGCAACACCATGCTCATGGTGACCCTAAACCTCTGACTGCCAGAAGCCTGGAGTGGAAGACAGATGAATGACTCCATAATTGCACTGTTCTGTACATGCCCCCTGAAGCTCTGGTATGTGCCACTGTCGGAGACAGGATATTGGGCAAGATGGACCGAGGTCTGACCCAATGTGGCAGGTTTTATATTCTTAATCTCTTGTATAGGAAACTTGCTGATCATCGCATGGAAAAACTAAAGGAAGGAATCCCACCACTCTGCAGTTATTCACTTAAAGGTTTATAATAGCAATGAAAACCTATGTAGCATAGTCCTTTCAGCCTGATATGCTATGCTTTGACTACTCAAATGGCAGGTTACTATAACTAGACAATTCTGACTAGTGTTCCAATGAAAGCAAACTACTGATCTTGAAGGACACTCTCATCCCATAATAAACCGAGGTTTGGTATTAAAAATAGATTTTCAGGCAGGTTGTTTCTAACAAACCTTGAAATAAAAGTTTCCTTTTGGTGTTCATTTTTTTTCCAGATACTGTCTTCCATTGAATTGCTGCAGCATTCTTTACCCAAAATCAACCGTAGCGCTTCTGAACCTTCTCTGCATCGTGCAGCCCACACAGAGGACATAAATTCATGCACATTAACATCCACAAGACTACCTGTTTTTTAGGATTGCACGCTCTCTCCCTTGCTCTAACCAATAATGAGAAAGAAAAACAGTCATAGCAGTTGTGCTTTTAATGCCTCAATCTACAGGATTGCAATGCCAGCAGGATTATCTGTCTCCCAGTTTTAAGAACAAGCTGCTAAGGATTTCTACAGTTTTAATCCTACAGGGACATTTCTCCACGTTGCCTTTTTCTACCATTTCTTTTATTGGGATAGAGTTAACTGAGACTGTAATCAAGAAAATCTATTACTATTTTTTTAATAGATGCACTTGAGCCTTATTTTCCCATAAGCAGAAAAGTTGGACATTTCTTTGGCAGTTTTGTGTCTTTGATTCTGTTTAATAAATTGGTATTTTTATAGCAAGGATGGCTCAGCATTTGAGGAAAGAAATATTGCAGATTGGTACTGTTCTTTGGATGTCCCATGCCATGTGCCACTGTAAAGTTGGGGGATTTTGACTAAAATGGCCATCTACAAACAAGACTGATGAAAGAGGAAGAAATGAATTCTAGCGATCAGCTTCTGCAAAGAGTATTCATGAAGCAGATGAAATCTGTTATAACGAATTGCTAAGTCAACACAAAAATAGTTTTGCACATAGAAGAAAAACTTCTGCAGAGGAGTGGAATATATTCTGAATAGTACTGCTCAGAGAAGGAAGCTAGCACAATCTTGCTATGGTCCTCTCCAGTAACTTAAGAAGCTTTTTTGGTACTATTGACTTGTTTCTTACAGCCCAATGAGGTATCAAGTGCGGAATGACAGGCTTTTTTGGATGAGGAAAGGCTAAGTAACATTATCAGTATATTTCTGCAAAATACGCAGCAACTTCAACCCATTTGAAGCTGTCTTCCGAGAGATGCACTATAAAAGAGGAAACTGAGTGTATACAGTTTTTCTTTCTGATTTGGGTTTTAATTTTGTTTTTATTGCTCCCGAGAAAATGCCTTTATTGTAAACCAAGGTTCCTCTGATTATCTTATTTTAATAAAATAAATTAAATTTAGGTTTAAGCTTCAGTGTCATTCTTCAGTGCAATATCTTACAATTCTAAGATGTCTAAATGGGCACACAATCACAGAACTACATGCATCTAGACATCAGTGTCTTAAATTATCTCTAGAAATTCTAAATGATCACAAATACTCTTCATTATATTGACCACAATAGGTGGCACGCACAAGTTTTCAAACACTTTTTATGTACTTTAATATGTATGTGAATGATTTATAATTATAAGTTAGCAATTCTGAGCTTGTTGTCCAGTGTCACTTTACAGAACAGTGTGGTAATCCAGAGGTTCTCAAACATTTAATATGTTGACCATTTCTCCTATATGCATAATATCCCTAGGCAACTATAGCAGTGCTTACACATGCACATATTAGGAATGGATATAATGTATTTTTGGCTGTATTTATTGCCATCTTTCAAGAAATGTGAATTATGCTATTTCTGCTCAGCATTTGTCTTCCATCAGTCTGTCTTTCTCAGCTATCACCACTGGTGCATCATGTGACCAGAACATCTTACTACAGACTACAATTTAGGAACAGTAAGGTAGCCTAATTTTAGACTGTGGGACAGTCTCTAAATCTCTTTCCTGTTGAATAGTAATACTTAATATTTGTAATATTCTGATAAGTGTTTTGATTAGGGAAGAATGGACACTAGTTGTAGGGACCATGTGTACTATTTAGGCCTTGGCTGCTATAGTAATACATTATGCTCCTGTTTTTTCCCTAACTTACATTTCAGTTACCCTGAAATGTACTGTCTCTTCCAGTTAAGAGGGATAAGCAGTTATGCAATTCCCTGTATGCTAATGATTGCATAAATCTGAAACCAACAACTACTTTATCTTTGGCATATAGCAGAACCTCAGAGTTATGAACAGCTTAGGAATGGAGATTGTTCTTAACTCTGAACGAAACATTATGGTTGTTCTTTCAAAAGTTTACAACTGAACATTGACTTAATACAGAATGCTGTTTTTTTTTTTTTTTAGTAGTTTCCGTTTAACACGGTACTGTATTTGTTTTTGTGTCTCTGCTTCTGCCTGATTGTGTACTTCCCGGTTCCAAATTAGGTGTGTGGTTGACTGGTCAGTTCGTAACTCTGAGGTTCTACTGTACCATCTAGAATTCCCTAGCCTGACACTTTGTTAGCTAAAGTGGGAATAATTTGCTAAATGGTGGTAGTTCTGCTGTGAATTATGCAAACCTCTCTACTCAGTTTTTCAAATTGTTTGCCAGCACCAGACTACTGCCCTCACCTTCTTATTCCATCAGCTGATTTACTCCAAAGCCTTCATGAAAGGGGAGAGAAGAATTACTGAAACACAAAGCAAAGGAGCTGTCAAAATTCTGAGGTACTTTTTTTTTTTTTTTTTTTTTATTTTTACTCCCTGCAGATCAGCAAGGTTCTTGTTACCAGAATAAATGTTCCCACACAAAAAAGCCTTAGCTTAACATTAAGGCTGAAGTAGTTTTGTATAACCATTACAAAATTTCAGCATTACAAAGACTAAACGAGCAGTGAAGTGAAATTACCATTAATGTTCAAATGTTTGGTTAAATTCAGCTCGATCATTCTGATGTCGTCTAAGCATCACCCTAATCCACAACACGTTGTTGGTAACAAAGTATGAACTATTTTGTTCTGTTCTACAGCTACCAGTCCTTAAATATGTTTTACAAGAAAAAAAGTCTAAGAGGACTGGAAAAATACAACATGCTCTGGGTTTCAAAAAGGAATAATTTAAGTTCGAAGCCACTGAACAGATTCACTCGTAACTTAATAAAATTTTAAATCTTTACCCTAAGATTAAGGGGTGTGTAACTTTGATTGTAATAAACATTTTACTCCAGGAGTGAAAGGCTAGTACACCAAGCCATGGTTCCAGCTAGCCTCTACAAATATATATGTTCTAAAGGGGATTTGGGTGCTAATTTTAATGGAAATTGGGCATCAAAATTCCCTAGATGACATTGAAAATATAGCCATAGTTGTCTTGTTTGTTTAATAAATACTACAGCATATGGCATCTCCTGCCGCCTTGCTGACAAAGATAAATAAGGACTCGTCTTGCTTAAAGGATTTCAAAATTAAAGCAAACAAAAGCAGGACAGTGCTGCAGTTTGGTTACCTATGATATGGTTTTTATGGGAGGAGCTACTCTTCAGTACTGGAAATAATGCAGATATCCTTTCCAAAACTAACATGCAGCAGAATGCTGAAAATAAGTCACAGAAAGGTAGTGACACAATTGTTTGTACAGAAAAAGTGAATAGTTCGAAGATCTATAGATGATTGGCATGGGACTCTTGGTTACATTGTTAATCTTACAGTACAAGCCTGACCATCTTGCTGAATGTAGTTTGTCTATGCTGGCATACATTCTTGTTGCTGTTTCCTTCATTCTCTCTCCCATTGTTTGTTACTCCTATTTTTCTCAGTTTAGATTGTAATTTCTGGAGGGACAGGGACTGCCTTTTTACACTCTAGTTGTATAGACCTGATCCTAATGGGGGCCTCTAGGCATTAAAATAAGTAGAAATGTGTGTCAAAAATACTTGGAGGAGCCAGGCACAGGAAAAGTTTCATAGTAATCGTGATCTTACTATCCAGACATAGTTAAATTACAACCTTCTCCAGTGAGTTTAAGTTTAGTATCCTGAGCTGCAAATAAGGGACAGCACTGCATGTTTTCTAGTTGTGGAACAATGGTTGAAACTTCCATATTCTTTTATATAAAAATGGTGCCTAATGAAGGCCATGTAAATCTTCAGGCTTGTTCTAAGTATGCAATCCCAATATCCTAAATTGGGTGTGGGGTGCTGCCTCTGAGGGGAGTAAGTGTGAGCTTTCTCTTCAAGTCAATAACTATCTATGTCTCCACCTGTTCCCTGTGCCACTTTACTTGCTCCTTCTTTGTACACGAAGTTCTGTTTGAAAAACTACCTATACTGAAGATGTTGGCTATAGCAATGGTTCTCAACGAGGGGTATGCAGAGGTAGGGTGACCACACATCCTGTTTTTGGTCTGGATAGTCCCCTTTTTCAGCTCTGTCCTGGCCATCCTTACTTTTTCACCAAAACCGGGCATTTGTCCCAGAGAAATTTTATGTTGGTGGGCAGCACTGCCTTCAGAGCTGACCCCCTCAGCGGGACTCAGGAGATCAGCCCCAGCCTATCCCCTTTTTACTTTAAGAAAAATGGTCACCCTACACAGGTCTTTCAAGGAGTACATCAACTTATCTAGATATTGGCCAAGTGTTACAACAGGCTACATAAAATGCACTAGTGACGCCAGCACAGCTAACTAAAATTTCATATAATGACATGTATACTGCTCTATATACTATACACTGAAATGTAAGTACAATATTTATATTCCCATTGATTTATTTTATAATTATATAGTAAAAATGAGAAAGTAAGCAATTTTTCAGTGAGGGGATACATGGGGTATGTAAGACAGACTACTAGAAGGGGTAAAGTAGTCTGGAAAGGTTGAGAGCCTCTGGGCTGTAGTGCTGGTATTTCATTGTTTACTCTGTCCATTTAATCTAAACTTTCAGCCAGACAGGTTCACTTTTGTGAAGTTCACCTAATCAATTTTGTAAGTCAGTACACTTAAATTATCTGCAGGAATAACCTAGCACAACCTGCACAAAGTCGGCTAAAGTAATTTATACCACACACTACTGGAAAATAATTACCTTTCTCCATCAATCAGCAATAAGTGCATACGTGTACACATGCCCAGAAGCACTAATAGATTCTCTAAATGGCTTCTCCCTTTTAACTTGGAGCAGAGGCCAGAAAGGAAGAAGCATGCAAGTGCCTTCTGGAATAGAGCATGTATAACTTAAAAGTGAAAGCTACATATGAAAGTAGCCAGCTGCCACCATTAGAATGAGAGTAGAACCTTGGAGTTACGACCACCTTGGGAGTGGAGGTTGTTCCTAATGCTAAAAAAACCATTATGGTTCTTTCAAAAGTTTACAAGCAAACATTGACAACTTTGAAATTTTACTATGCAGAAGAAAAATGCTGCTCTTAACCATCTTAATTTAAATGAAACAAGCACAGAAAGTTTCCTTACCATGTCAAATCTTTTGTTGTAAACTACTACCAAAAATGACAAAGTTTAATGTAACACAATACTATACTGTAGTTGCTTTTTTTTTTTTTTTGTTCTCTGCTGCTGCCTGATTGTGTGGTTGACTTCAGTTCGTAAGTCTGAGGTTCTGCTGGATGAGCAAGACCATGGTGTGAGAACCCTGGGGAGGGCAAAGGGTTCCACTGCAACCGTGCAGAGGTTATTCGGACCATTATAGTGACTGATCTCTTTAGCTTCTAGTTTCTTGGAGACATTGTAAGATGTGTAACTTTCATCTCAAGTCTGACAAAGGGGATGTATGTAAATTGCATCTGGAATAAATTACTATGTACTGGAATAAATCCAGTACATAGTTAAATTGCCACTGATCATGTCATGTTCTAGTGGATTATAGAGCAGTCTAGTCACATTTTACTGACTCTAGAATGAAGTAATCAGAATGTCGATCATTCTTGCATATATCTTCAGTTTGAATATATGTAGCAGTATTCAAACACTCTCTCCACTACACTACTTGCATTGAATCAATGTTAAGACAAAGATTACCCCAGTTTCTCTGTACCCTGTTTATACTTCCCATTATACTATTTTGCCTAATTTATTGCTATGGTTCTTTTTTCAATTAGTACAGTCTGCACAATATCCAATTTGGACATCAGATGCAGGATTTCTACTACAAAGCAGGTATAGCCACACCTGTAACCCTGTACTGCAATTCTGTCAGCTCAACTTGTTTGTGTGGATCAGTCTATGGATGTACTTGCTGCAGTAAATGCTGTTTAGAGGGCATTCCATAAGGTGTGTATAGAAATGACGGTGGGAACACAGCTGGTTGAAGTGCTGTCCCTTGGATTAGCTGTCAAACCAAGCCCCTTGAG